AGGCTTGTGTGCACTGTCCATCAGCAATGACAACTGCTACCTGGCCTACCCCGGGAGCGCCACCATCGGGGAGGTGCAGGTCTTCGACACCGTCAACCTGGTGAGACCCTTGTGCTTGCCCGCTCCTGGACAAGGGCAGCAGGCAGGCCGCCCTCTGGGAGTGAGTGGCCAAGCGAGTTGGTCCCTGCTTGAGGGTTTCTGCAGCAGGTCCTCAGCCTGCTCTCTGACCCCGGCCTCTGCTGGGGTGACACCTCCGCCACAGACACTGACCTGTCCCTGTCACCTCGGCAGAGAGCTGCAAACATGATCCCGGCCCACGACAGCCCCCTGGCAGCGCTGGCCTTTGACGCAAGTGGGACCAAGCTTGCCACTGCTTCAGAGAAGGTGAGTCCTGCTGGGCAGGGCCTCAGAGCAGCCCGTCCCCATCCCCAGTCGTGGTGATCGCGCCACTTGACCAGGGCCAGTAGGCACGCCTCGGCACAGGGAACTTGGGAGGGAAAAACAGCCCATGCCTACATATTACGTGCAGGGGGTGCACAGATCCCAAAATCATGGGATGTGCTCCTAATTTGCCTGAAAGCAATCCTAGGCTTCCCCTCTCCAGAGCGGCTGTGGGCGTGGCTGGCCTCGTGCCCAGCCTCCATCTTCCGGAGCCTCCCTTTCTTAGAAGACTCCTGCCTTGCGCTACGCTCTCAGTGGTGTGCACCTTAGCAGAGAGCAGGGGGATTGTTTAGTTGTGGGGTCCATCACTGACCCCTGGCCCCTCCAAGGTTGGCCTGTAGCACATGTACACAGCTAGCATCAGAGTCCCACTGAACTCACTCTCTCTCCCCAGGGCACCGTGATCCGGGTCTTCTCCATCCCTGAGGGACAGAAGCTCTTTGAATTCCGGAGAGGCGTGAAGAGGTCTGGCCGGCAAAGGGAGATTGGGGGTGCTGCAGGGTGGATGGATGGGCTGAGGGTGTGGGTTACCTGCCACCAAGCCAGGAGGACCTCAGAGAACAAGGAGGGCACTGCAGGTGAAGGTCCACACACTCGATCCTGCCTGACGGTCAGAGGAGACCAGAACTGGCCACAGACATACAGGGACGTTCTCCTAAACACGTGTAGCCAGTGTCCATCCAGCTGATGGACCAGCACGCACCTTCCCTCGTTCTCTGGCCGCAGCTTGTGAACAACCCACACGCACACACCCCACACCCCCAAGCCTGGGTTCCTCCTCACCAAGTGGAAAGGCACCATTAGGGGTGCCCTGAGTGCCCACTAGCTGGTTCTGGCCCCTTTGCTGGGCTGGCCCTCAGAACCTTGGTGCGCCCTCTAGTGCCAGATAGAGTTCTGTGGCCTTGCTCAGCATCCCGAGCCCTGGATCCCACCTGAACAGGAAAGCAAAGTTAGTCAGGTGTGGCTTCTGGGGCCCACTCCTGCCCACTCTGCAGACAGGGCCAGCCTCTCAGCCCCCCAGTGCATCCACCTGCCATCTGTGGGGCTTCTCTGGCCCCCGAGTCTTTCTGGCGTTTGATTTCCTTTAGCTCCTCCCTGGTTTTCACCCTGAGGTCCTCAAGCTCATAGAAATGGTGAGATGGGGTCCCAATGCCCCAGTGTGTCCACCACTGCGCAGCAGTGGGGGGCCCAGCAGTGCTAAGCTCTCCTGTGTGGTGTGGTGCGACGAGACATGTTCTCCCTCGCGCTGCTGTGGGGAAGGGGCTGGCCAGACAGGCGTGAAGAGGGCATCTGTCTAGACCTCCATCTGCCTGCCGGGGGGCCTGCGGTCCCTGTCCCTCCAGTGAGAATCCTGGCCCCGCCCCCAGGTGCGTCAGCATCTGCTCCCTGGCCTTCAGCATGGACAGCCTGTTCCTCTCGGCATCCAGCAACACAGAGACGGTGCATATCTTCAAGCTGGAGACTGTGAAGGAGAA